TATTTCTTTTTGCGTGAAATGTTTTTTAACGGGTAATCCCAGGATTGTGTCCCTTCTTCCCTCTGTTCGTCCGTTTCCGCGCTAAATGGAGCGGCGAAACTGTCCTCCAGTGACGTGAGCGTGTCGTGTGATGTCACGCCACCTCATGTTACGTCACGTAGCCACGTCATCGGGCTTGAGGTCACCCGACGTCGTGGCATCGGGGAAAACCACGACTGGACTACGTGGCGCCAAATTTACTCCCTAAATTTAGCTGGGAGTTACTATGAACTTTCCACTCCCCGAAACGGTTGTTTAATATCTTTTACAACTATTTAAGCGATTGATCGCCCTCTGGATGGTGCGTTTCAAGCATTTTGGGACATTAAAAATAAAATTTGTCGCGAATAATTTGTTTATATGTTGTTCTGTTGCCGTTTGAGCAATGTAAACGGGCAACACACCTCGTCAGAGAGAGAAAATCCACCTTTTGCCATCTTAAACTAGGCCTTGTGTTCGAATCAACGAAAACTGGCCGCGACTTTTGCCTTCAAAGTCCTCTAATACATAAAATTCATTATATGACTTGGAATTTTTAAATCTCCCGTTAAATTTAGCGGGGAAACCGTATCGCTTCACGTGACGTCAGGTTAAGTAACAACGATTTCATCGCCAACTTTTAACGGGGAAAGTGAATTGGTGAATGCAGCCCACGAGACACCAATTTTCCCGCCAAAATTAGCAGGGAAACTGAATAAGTATATAGGTCACGTGGCACCAATTTTCCCGCCAAACTTATTGGAGAAACTGAATTGTTGTATGGGTCACCTGACATAAATTTTCTATCAAAATTTAGTGGGGAAACTGACTTGGTCTATAGGTTCAATAAGTTCAACAATGCTTTATTGCACCTCTGAGTAGGCCTTGTTATGATCGGTCATCCAGAGAGGGGTTCGGCTTCCTGGCAGCGCCATCGACCACTCATCGAGTGACCAGAGTCTCGGGCTCGGCATTGATTCTGTCGCCGCCGAACATGCGGACCGACGCGGCGTGGTTGGGGTGCGGTTTCCGGGCGACGCCGAGCGGTCCACCCGGCACAGCGGGAGCTGACCCCCCTGACACCCCGCTGAAAAACGGGGGCCCGCTTCCTCGGCCTTCGGACCGGGTGCTGTCGGACGATGGACACAAGTGGAGACGTTTGGGTCTCGGTGTGTGATCGGGAAAGCTGCTCTGTTCCCGCGTTCTTCTGGGGAAACGGGACGAGAGGGATGCTTGGGCCGGGCGTGACCACGTGCGAGGTCTGAGTCCGGCGGGACTGCAGAGACGTCCCCTGGTGACGAGAGTGCGTTTTCCCCTCGCGGGACCTTAGACAGGGACCTTCTCGCCACTTCAAGGGGGCTACATTAGCCGGTGCTCGGACTCGCAGAGAGTCTTCTCTTCTCAGAGGCCAAAACTGAAAGATGGCGATGTAAATATTCCTGTGTATAAACGTCTTCTCCTCTCAGGGAACGCTCCTCAGTATCTTCGGAGTCCACAGCGCTTAGAAGTGAGGGAATGCTCGGCCCGGAACCATAACAACTGGAGGGCAGCGGTGGGATGGTCCGTGCAGACTCATGGTTGCTGTGTTGGTGAGTGTTCATTCTTCTCTTGGGATTTGCCAGGTTTGAGTAGATGGTCAAGTTTGCTTAAACTTGGTGATATAGCTGCCGGGGTAGTTGGCTCTATTTTGGGTATTCCCAGGCAGAGGGTGAGGTGAAAGATTGTCAGTCGAGAACAACCATTAATCTGAACAAGTTGCGCAGACCAGATCTGATTATTTTGAGTGAAGAATTGGGGCTCGATTTGGGGGGAGTGCAGAGAAAACCTCTCATAATCGAGACGATCCGGGCGATCCTCGGAACGAGAGACGATCCGAGGACGGGAGGCGATCCGAGGAACTAGTTAAGAAGGATGAGGAACGAGTTAAGAAGGAGGAGGGAAGACAAGAATGGGAGATATCAGAAAGAGAGAAAGAGCATCTTTATCCCAGAAATTTGCAAGAAAAAGAGCTCAGAGGAAAAGAGAAGGAGCGTCTCTATCGCAGGGAGTAAGAGGAAAGGAAGCTGGAACGGAAAAAGTTAGAGCTTCAGATACCCCAGGTGGAGGCAGAACGTGCAAGCCGAGAGACACCGAGTTCTAGGGTTGGTCAGGCAACATCGCGGCTGAAAATGAAAGACTTAAAATTAAAGAAGATATTGGCTTGCTTCTTGTAAATTTCGAAAGAACATGTGAGAAAATGGACTATCCGAGCGACACCTGGCCGCAATGGCTCTTGACAGTTCTTCCGTGGGAGGCCGCCGACGTGGTGGCTCGGTTGGAAAGAGCGGAGGCAGACGATCATAACAAAGTCAAATCGGCTCTCCTGAAGAAGTACCGCCTTTCCGCCGACGTTTTCCGTCGCCGGTTTCGCACTGAGGAAAAGAAGTCGGATGAGTCCTTCTCCGAATTCGCGTACAACCTAAACTCCAATCTCGTAGAGTGGCTGAAAGGAGAGGAAGCTTCGGGAAACCACGACAAAGTGGTCGAATGTATCGGTCTCGAACAGTTTTATAACTGCTTGACGGAGGAAACCCACTTGTGGGTGCGGGACAGACCGGGGCTTAAAACGTTGGAGCGAGCCGCCGATCTGGCAGAAGAATTTGCTTTAAGGCGTGGTGCTGAGAGAAGCCGGGATCGTCTCAGGGCAAACGCAGGCAGGGAGCCTTTCAAGAAAGTTGGTGCGCACGGAAAAGAAAAGCCGGGTGCTTCATAAACAAAGGGTTAGGTTCAGGTACCGTAGAAATCGGATTTGTGTAAAATGTATCCATAAATTCAGGGTTCTCTTGAGTGACAATGTTTATATTTAGTGGTCTACTTTAAAAAGACAAAGTTTGTGTCAGTTTTATAACAATCTGGCGGATCCGGGGTTGGCTGCGCACTTCCGGACCTGCGACCTTGGGCAATGTGCGGCCAGACCCTTGTTCGTTTCATCTGATGCACTGACGAGCTCCCTTAAGAATGTGACTGCTGCAGTCCTCGAGAGACACTCGACGAGCGACCACGGGTTCTTAGGATGCAACGTGGGCTGCACCCCTTTCGACCCCTCTTTTCGGCGGCGGAAGTGCTGTTATGATCGGTCACCCAGAGAGCAGGTTCGGCTTCCTGGCAGCACCATCGACCACCCATTGACTGACTAGAGTCTCGGGCTCGGCATTCCTGCGCCGCCGAACATGCCGACCGACGCGGCGTGGCTGGAGTGCGGCTTCCGGGCGACGCCGAGCGGGCCACACGGCACAGCGGGAGCTGACCCTCTTGACACCCCGCTAAGAAACGGGGGCCCGCTTTTTCTGCCTTCGGACCTGGTGCTGACGGACGATGGACAGAAGTGGAGACCTTTGGGTCTCGGTGGGCGATCAGGAACTTGGAATAAGGAGCGTGGTAGTAGGGGTAAAATATAAATAAAGGAGGGACATAAAGACGAGGACGGAGAAGCCCGGCCCGTCAAAGCCGTCGGTGTATTCGCACGAGAGATTTTTATCCCCGGAGAAAGCCGAGTACGTCATAGAGCTGAGAGAAGGAAACGGCACGAGAAGGAGGAGGAAGTGGAGGAAATCCAAGCGAGCATTCGCTTGGATTTTGTGTCTTGTCCGTCCTCGTTTTTATGTCCTTCCGTTATTCATATTTTGATCGGGAAAGCTGCTCTGTTCCCGCGTTCTTCTGGGGAAACGGGACGAGAGGGATGCTTGGGCCGGGGTGTGACCACGTGGGAGGTCCGAGTCCGGCGGGACTGGAGAGACGTCCCGTGGTGACGAGAGTGGTGCCCTTTCCCCTCGCGGGTCCTTGGACAGGGACTTCCTCGCCATTTCAACGTGGCGAGGAGGTCCCTGTCCGATCATTAGCCGGTGCTCGGACTCGCAGAGAGTCTCCTCTTCTCAGAGGCCAAAACTGAAACATGACGATGTTAATATTTGTGTGTATAAACGTCCTATCCTGTCAGTGAACGTTCCTCAGTATCTTCGGAGTCCACGACGCTTGGAAGTGAGGGGGATGCTCGGCCCCAAGCGACGAGAAAGGCAGGTATCCCCATGCACAGCGTGTGCCCACGTCGCCTACCTGGAGGCAGTTGGATCTATTTACAAAAGAGATGATGATGATGAATGGATGGATGGTAATGGCTATACCGTTCGTAACGGGCGGCAGCTAGCGCCATCTAGCCTAACTGGTGATGAACAGGATGATGATGAGGATAATGATGGGGTGGTGAAGAGGGCGGAGAGCGGTAGCAGCGGTCTTCGCGACGGTGGTCTTTGCGGGGCCGCCATGGGCTGCTGACTTCTGTCATGTGACTTCTATCATGTGACTTCTAGCATGTGACTTCTAAGGAACGCTACGCCATTATTTCTGCTAAATTTAGCGAGGAAATTAACTTTGTGTTTAGCTTCCGTGAAGTCAGGTCACGTGATATAAAAGTTTTCGCTAAATTTAGCGGGGAAACTGAATTCGCGTATAGGTCACGTGAAACCAATTTTCTCGCTAAATTTTGCAGAAAGAGTGGCGGGCGGACGCGTCGGACAGAATTTTGAGGTTGGAGGAGCGTTGAAAAGCATCTCACGCTTTACAACCAACAAACAAATAAAATTCCTCAAGTGCAACAGGGTATAAGTGCTGACGCATTGACGGCTGGAGATTTTGTGCTAAGTATAGCGTAAATATAAAAGGGCAGCGGGCTACGCCTACTTGGCCAGAAACTATGTTGTCTACGAAGACTCCTTCGTCTTATTTTTCCACAAACTTGCATATCAGTCTGACTTAGAACTCAAACTCAAAGTTGCTTAAAATTTATTAAAACAAAAACAAGAAAAACAAAGGGTAAACAATTAGAGCGCCTTAAATACTGATAAGCGAGTTTTCGAGCTTATTTAAACGGTACTAAATAGAGAAAGAGAAAGAAAGAAAAATGAGAGCAAAGTTGGCGTTTTCGTGGAGAATGAGCGGTGATACCTTTAGAGTGAGCGGTGATACTGCATTCCCATGTAAACGACACACGTACACACGCACACACACACACACACACACAGACACACGCAGGCACAAACACATACACACATACATACGTACAAACGTATTATTTATTTATTCATTTATGACCAAAGTTATACGGACAAATATGGCTGACTTACGAACTTAGCAAAGCTCGCTACTTGCTTGTGGGGTCTGTCAGCCAATTGAAATGCATCTGTGTTGGGCCAAATCAAAAAGCCTCAACGCAAAAATTAACACATCAAAACCAAAAAAAAAAAGAAAGAAATACACACGGAGAACATCGATCGTAGAAACAGCTGATCTACCAATAAAACAAAACATAGTTATGAAAACACTTCGCATATGAAAGAAAGAAAACATCGTACTTACAAAAAAAAAAATGTGATTCATACACCATGGAATGAACCAAACAAGGCAACTACGACAGAAAAACTGCAATAGCTATGATTCACGTGTCTTGCACCAGTTTTTCAGTTTTCCTTTCAGCACTCTCATGGATTTTACATTTATCAAGGGCTTTGAAGTTCATTAAATAAACAAAAAATATAATGATTTATTTTTATTTTTCCATACAGTGTGTGCTATTTTTTGGAAAAGGCAAACCTTTCAGTGCGCCTTAATTAAGGTCAATTTTGAAGCTACTGTAATATACATTCTTATCATCGACATATCTGTAAAAAAAAACAAAAAAAAAACAGAAAAACTTGTATTAATAAATAAATTGAGGAACGTCTAAATATCCTGTCTAAATATACCGAGAGTGCAGCAATCGCGCGGGACTTAAATATTCAAAGGTCGTCCCGTCGAACGTCTTCGTTCAACGCTGCCCCCCTGTCGTTGAAGATTCGTGCCACACATGCACTCTTTCTGAGGATCGTTTAAATGTTTAATGAAGCGGTGGGAGAGTTGGTTTTGGAAAGCCCTTCTATTATTTATATCGGCTAAATATGAAAGTGTTTCGTTATGTTTTTCCTTTGCTGTGTTACGAATTTGTGGGGGAAGATCACGCACGCAAAAAAAAAAAAAAAAGAAGACAAACAAAATTATCGGACAAAGAATTGATTGTCTTGGATTATGTTTTTTAAAGAATAAAACGGTCAAATTATGTTATTAATAAAAAAAATATTGAATAACTACGCGCATAGGTTTTTGAAAATTTGAATTTTAAAAGCTTAAGAGATTAACGAAAATGTAAAAAAAACAACACAAAAACCACTTTTTGAGAGGAAAAAAATATTAATTTTGTGTCATTTATTAACTGCACACGTCCAGTCGCTCCCCGCAACAGTAATATGAACGCAATTTTTTGAAACAATAGTTAGCACATCAGTGTTATGAAATCTAGGATTGCGGAAAAACGAATATAAACATTTGCTTTAGAAATATACCTATAGCTACTACATTCAGATATTTCGTAGAACTCGAAAGTTCAAAGGTGAATACGTGCAAACACCCATGACGTGCAGTGGCACAACAAAACGATAGAAAGCTATGCACTAGCTGCTACACTAGTTAGAGTATTTACTCCAAAGATGATGAATTTGCATAACATTTACTGGATGACTGGGCGACAGTGTATAACGTAAGAAAATATTAGAAAAAGGGATAGGCGAATGTCTAAGTCACTTTGCAGATTCGGTTGTTCGTCCGTTTTTTTTAGAGAGTAGTATTTCTGACACCAGGCAGATATTTATTCTGAACGTAGTTCATTTTCCTTTCTTATATCAATAGCTTTCAAATGTGGACTATGTATGTGTGTGTGTGTGATAATTCAATATAAAAAAATAAGCACACAGAAAAGTGGCAACCATATAGAAAACAGTATTCTTTACATTGTGCTAAACAGAATAGAACAAAAACAGTAATAATTGCTTCTATGTTACGAACTTTTTATGTAAAGCTGCCTGAGGCTGTGCCAGAAATAACATTTAGTGATAAATAATAATAATAAAGAAATTGTAAAACGTTTCGTAATTTGCACAGCTTCACTATAGGAGAAACAAAGTACGGTTTTAGATCAGAAGCGTTTTTGTCCTGGACCGTTTACTTTCTTTTTTCTGGTGTAAATATACCATCTAAATCGACGGGCATAAAAATATTTATCGAAAAAACACGTTCTTCTAATACTATATAATTTACGTGTTCTTGCAAATTGGATGCCTCAGGCTATTTCGTTTGGACAGATGGCCGTTGCCAGAGACACGAACGAGGATTTAGTTTTGTTCCGTCAATATTTGGCGCAATGAAATTAGCTATATTACAAGTTTATTATGACACACCGTAAAAAGAGAAATATTCTTCTCTATATTTAAGAAAAAAAAAAAAAAAGTCACTTGGAGGACCTAAATGTCCAAGCTTTTGGCACATACTGCGCCGCAAATTATTATTATTATTATTTTTTTTTCCATCCAGGGTGTTGTTGTAAGTCGAAGAAAAGAGGAGATTGACCTCTGATATTGAAAAATCGAAGAATTGTTTTCAACCTCCGCGTATTCGCGCTTTCCTCCAATCCCCGAGGACTTATAGTTCTCTCCTCGATTCTCTGGTTCCTCAGAGCAGGCGAGTCTCGAGACTTCGGCAGAGATAAAAGACCCTTCTTCGTTTCAAGAAAAAAAAAAAAAAAAGAAAGATAACTTGTTGGAAAATAATTTTTCGTAAAACAAAAAACACATAAATAAAGAAAAAAAAAATAAAACGAAGCGCGACAGACGAAAGCAGCTTATGAGATTTGAAAATAGTATACACCAAGCGGGTTTTCGGGGGCTTTTTTTCTCCTCTCTATCCTCCCTCGCTTTCGCCGAGATATGACCGCCAGGAGACTGCGAAATGAGTTACGCCACTTTCATGCACACTCGCACACGCACATACAGATAAACACACGCACACACACACACACGCGCAGGCTCAGATGTGTGCGTACTCGGAGGCACGCATCCCGAAAATGTGCGATGAATTGCGACTGCGGCAATCTACATACATGCATGACAATTCTGTTGTCACTGGTCGAGCTGAGCTTATTCCTCTCTTCCTTCCATATCTCCACACGATTATTTGACAAGTTTATAAATAGACAACATAACCCCGAGTAACTTGTTTTTAAAGAAAATAAAAAGGCACGCAATTTTGAAATCGTATTTGCGGAAATAGGGTTAGACTTCACTTCCAAATAGCGACTTGACTTGGCGCATGGTGTGCAGTGTACTGTTCTATAGACAAGGTGGCCTGGTTGCTTCATTTCCCTCAGCCACGTCGGATGCGAGTATTCTTTATTCTTCGCTTTATGTTGCCTACATGCAGAACTATTTTTTGCTTCGTACATTTTTTTTTAAAGCAGAGTACTTTGCGATTTGACAGCGTATAATCAAAACGAACCCGAGAAAACAAGAATGCACACTTTCACACGCAGACACACACACACGCACACGCGCAAACACACGCCAGTGCGAAGATGCATGGGGAGCCAACGCAAGCGGTGGAAGAGGGCATTGTGTTAGATGGCGTAGCGGCGAAGCATGCACGGTGCTGCAGGAAGGGAGGATGGAGAGACGTTTCAAATGCAGATGTGGGGATATTCCTCGGAGCAACACGAATGCATCCATTCTCGGCGCCTTTTCTTCGTCGCCTCCTTCCCGGGCCTTTGTGTGCGTTGAGAGGAAAAATGTTGCCGCGCCGCTTTGATGTTTCCCTGCTCCCTCTGCTGCGCTGGCGTGGATACGCTCTTTAGGGCTTGCGACGGCTTCGGGCCGCGGAGAGTGACTTTGAAGTCTGGCGGAAATACGATGGGCTTAAAGAAAGGAACGTGAGTTGACGAGACGCGGATCAAGGTCCTTGCGGGAACGAGCAATTCGTGGAGCACGTTGGGATCACGGCCGGTGTACCCGTAGTAAGACGTGGCGATTATTCGAGCTACCCCGACTAACTATAGTTTCTGAATTCACGGCGTTTACTCTTTCTGGTACGCTCTCTAGTATCGCGAGATTCGCAATAGTTATTGGAAAATCGGTAAATGAAAAATTATGCAAAAACCAACATTCAAATATACCCGCACTTTTCGGTGCTGTGACCTCTGTCTTGCCAGTCGAGCAAGTAGTCTAAACAAAACCTATGCCGAGCGTTTGTTCCGTACTGGTGCTCGGGCACTGGAGTGAGCTTCCAAATCATTTATTCGACACCATGAAACGGCTCGTAATCAGGTGGGAACAAAATCCACTGTTCAAAGGGTGAACCCATGCCTTCGACTGGCGTCACTTTTTTGTTGGTGCCAGTAGAGACTTCCAGTTCGAAACAAACACGGTGAGGATCAAAATTGTAAATTAAATAACTTCGCAAAAAAACAAACAAATGTTTTGACCCTCGTAATATTTAAGATACTAATTCAGCGATATCCGTTGGTGTGTTTAGCAAATTCGCAGGCAAATCGGGGACCATGAAGAAATCGCCGAGGTACCCCTTTGAGGCCCGTTCACACACTTGCCTTTGCTTAGGACCGAGTTTTTCGATCTCAGATCGAAGTTTTTTTTAGGTATTTGCTAAATAAAAGTGCACGCACTCTGTGAGAAAAGGTCGCTTATAACATTTTCAAGGCAAAAAAGAAATAATCATGCGCGAAAAAAATATATTCCGAAATTGAATTTTTGTTTCCGCGACCCGATAGATGACGTTAGTATTTTTTTTTTGTCGTAACATATTTTAAAGATGTTTTAAGGCGCACAGTCCTAAGCAGTCGCAAATGTGTTAACCAGCCTTTATTCGGTTGCCAGCGCAGTGTGGTTGAGATTACCGCCTCATACGCCAAGCTCCGACAACTTTAAAGGGGCACTGTAAAGGGACGAAGAAAACCAAATGCTGCTTCGAAGGGCGTTCCTGTCAGTGTCAAACACGAGCGTCCAGTGAGAACATTAGAGCGTCGGATAATGACGACATAGAATTCTAGAGCGAGGACTGGTTGAATAGGTGCACGTGACCCTTTCTTTTCTTTTCAAGCGCGTGATTTTCACTCAACTGTTTGTTTGAGAAACCCGTAAAAAAAGAAGAAAAAAGCGGAGTCTCGCAAAAAGCGCAAACCCCCCCCCCCCCCCCCCTTTACTGTGTCATGGCGTCAGCATAAACAAACATGGCGGCGCCTATGGAACAGAGTAGACACTGCATTTATACAGAGAGCGAGTCGTCTGCTTCTTGCACAGGGGCGGAAGTGACGTCAGAACGACGCCGAGTTCTGAGTGGCTTTGATTGGAGGGATAGTGGGTAGACGCACGCTCAATGCTAAATGTCTAAGAGTCTGCCCACTCGTGTTTCTCAGGCTAGAATATTTGTTCCCGGCTAGAAGAAGTCGTCATTGTGGCGATCCAGTAAGCATTTTTCCCCCCAGTAGCTCTCGTTTCTTGGGGACAAGCTGCAGTGAGTTTCAGTCGCAGAAAATATAGCGCTAACAAAATGTACTCGGTTCTTATTTGTACGCTATGTACTCCGTTTCACTTAAGATCTTGCCTAAGCCGACGCTACTCTCTTTGATGGAACCAGTCAATATGCGCAAAAAAGTGAATCGCCACTGCGCTCGGAGTCTTTGGGCGTTTTTTATCGCCGGCTAAACCAATCACGAGCCGTAAATGCGCCGCTATCCTGCGCTTTTGTTTTTTGGTGCGTGATTGGCTTAACCGGGGCGCAGCTAACCCAGAAAGGATGGATGGATGGATGGATGTTAATGGCTACACCCTTTGTAACGGGCGGTAGCTTGCGCCACCTAGCCTAATTCTAAGAAGAGAAGCAAACAAAAAAAGACAACGAGCGCCGTGACGATGCACTTTTGGTGCTGCTTGATTTGTTCTAAAAGTTAGACAGGGCAATGTCTGAAAGGTGCCCTTTATCCTTGCGTGGCTAAACTTCATAAAATGAGAGCTTCTCGTCGTTGTACTATTTCAAACGAAACATCATATTGCAGGAAGTTAGAAAGTTGGGTTAGTCGTTGGGCCTGCCGAATAAGAGTTCTAGCGAAAAGGTGTTACCTTTTCGCTAGAACTGGAGTTTGAAGCTAACGAAAGCACACTGGGATCCCATTTCCCATGTATTTTGTCAATAAAGGCAACGTGGGCGTTATTTTGTTTACCTGCCACTACTAGAATCTCGTTACATTGCACGTAAACAACGTCTCGGTAAGGATCATGGCCCGGGCCCGGGGGGGGGGGGGGGGGGGGGGCGGCACAGGAGCCCCGATGCTTCCCCCCCCCCAAGTCTACGCCTATGCGTGCCAGGCTGCCTCACATGTCCCGAAGAGAGGCTCAAATCTAATCCTCGTGGAAGACACTTCTGCACTCAAGAAACCGCCTCGCGCACCGAGCAAAAAAAAAAAAAAGTAAGAACTTTTGCGACGCGCCGAGACAGCCATTTCTCCGAAAGAATTAGCCCCACAACTTTTCTTCGGGCCACGTGAGCGAGACAAAAGACAGCCTCGTCTCGTCCGTTGGTACCGAGGCTCCTAGAAAACACAGACGAGGCCCCGGACACAGTCAAACTGAAGGCCAACGCGAACACTCCAAAGCGCGGAAGGAAAGTCGGTCCCGCCTCGATTGAATTAGGCCCAATTTAGAGGAAAACGCGGCAGCGGCGGTTGCGCAATATCTCGCCCTAACGGCTCGCCGCAGCAAACCGACGCCTTCAGCCCGCCACGGCGGCCCTAACAAGGTTTAGCCCGGGTCCCCTCGACCGTTTCGACTCTCGAGTGCTCCCTTTTTCGCTGCACGTAGCTGCGTGGACGAGGCTCTCTCGCGGTATCGCTTTCCGGGGTATTAGAACACCGGACTTTTTTTTTTTCGTTTCTTTTTACTTTTGTTTCTTCTTCATTCCCCCCGTACAAGCCCGGTCGAATTTCTTGGCCGCGTCTTTAAGTAAAGCTGAAGCTGCTTGGTATGCTCCCGGCGCGCTCTAAATTGTAATGAATACGAGGGCGAGGGCGTTGAGAGCGCCGCCCGGCCGCCTTCACGCCTGCCCCGTGCGACGGACCGGGGAGGCGTCGGCGGTGGCGGCGCCCCTGGCTGGGCCGACGATATCGGCGCTCTCGATGCGGTGCGAGTTTGGAATACGGGATTAGGCCCGAGACGCCGGGAGCTCGGGGATCCTGCAAAGTGCGGGCCTGACTGGTACTACACGCTGTCGGCTTCGTATAGTGTGATTGAGTGGCATCGCTCGGCAGCCGCCGCCGCTGGGAACGCAGCCCCATCCGTTGGGCGTAAAGCCCGCGCCTGCTTGACGTCGTTCGCTTTTCTCGGTGGCGCTAGTCCTTCTTCTTGTTGTGGTTTGTGTGTGTGTGTGTGTGTTTTAAGTTTTCTCGCGTGCCTGTGCTCTCATCTCACGCGTTCGTCTGCGTCGCTGTCAAAGGCGGAGGCGTGGGAGCGTTGTGCCGCGAAAATGCCTCGTGTCTATTCGAGCTTGGAACACACATTTTGTAAGCTTGCGTGTTTGGGTTCGGGCCTTCTCTCTCCAGATGAATCCGGGTGATAGTAAGGATAGGATGGATGTGGGGTTTGGCGAAAAGAAACACGAGTCTGATGCCGAAGACGTAAAATACATACACACACACATACACACGCGCAGATACGTGCACAGACGCGCGCACACACATTGACATGCAGACGCACACATTCACACGCATACACACACTCGCAAACACCCACTCACATAAACACACAGATACACACGCACAAGGACGCAAATACATGCGCACACAAACCTTGCACACTCAAGTACACCAACGCTCGCACGCAAACCCACACAAGCACACAGATGCACGTGGACGTGAACGCGCGTACATTGATGCAGTCTGTATAGTGTTCATAGAAGAACAGGCGGACGAGTGCGTCAGCCTTAGCGCACCGCTGCTCGGCGCTCATAGAAAGCTCAGGCCGAAGACCTCGTGTATCCTGGAGTTTGTCCCCGCTCTCGTCCATGTTTGTCTCGGATGAGCTTCGTACCGATACGCTCCAGTGGGATCAGAACTGCCCGATGCACGTTAAAGCCCCCAGGTTAGCGCAATCGTGCTGTAACTGTCGAATTGCTCACGACAGCGAAAAAGCCCCCCCCCCCCCCCTCTTTTTTCATGGTGTTTGAAATCTTTTTTAATGAAAAAGTTCGTGTCTGGCGGACATGAAGAGCAACGCTTTTGAATGTTGCTGATCATGATTATGCGTTCACAAGCGTCCTTTTTGCTGGGAAAGAGCTCAGCTTCGAACAAACACCGCGGAAGAGCCCAGGCCCCGCGTCTATATGTCTCCAACAGATAGAGTTGTTTGTCTACCGTCAGTGCGATAAAATCTATCCAATGGCGAGAGGGCACAATAGATCCAGCGTAGCGCGTCGCCATTACCGAAATGGCTAAACCGGCATCGACTCTAGGAGACCGAGAGAAAGTAAAATAAATAAATAAAGAGGAGTCGAGCGAAACTGGGCACATTGCACGGAGCCGCAATGGCCCCTCGATTTCTCTCGCAGGTCTCGCCCAACACAGCGTTTGAAGCGAGGGCTTCTCGAGTGCTTGCACCATTAAGACCCGAATCATAGAGGACGCCGTGCAGCCTGTTTGTTTGTTTTGCTTAGATGCTTTGTTTTCTTTCTTCGACTCTCGGGGCATCAGGTGCATTAGGGATCCCTCGGTCTCTGCAGCGCGCGCGTTCGATAGAGATTTGGAAGCTGGGAGATGGAATAAGAGGAGCTCCTTTATCTCGTCTTCTATAATCTTCTCACGCTTGTCTGTATTCGGAGAGAAAGTCGTCTGCTTCTTGCACAGGGGCTGCGGTGACGTCAGAATGACGCCGAGTTCTCATTGGCTGCGATTGGGGGGCTAGTGGGTAGACCTCAATCCTTGATGCCTTCGGGCCTACCCACTATTTTTTATATATATATAGGGATACAGTTACCGTAGTTTACGGCGACGGCTCCCTTTGCATCACGTATGGTTATCTTGTACAAAAATCGCCTTTTTGTTTTTCCGGTTTTACTCTGCCATTTTTGGAAAAAACTTAAGCAGTTCGTCCGTGGCAGGATGGAATACTAATAGGTCTGGTTCTTTCGGTGGTGGCGTCGCGACGCCAGTTTGGTGCATTCATCACATCACGGTGTGCTATTGTGTCGTGCGCGGCAATGGCGCAGGAACTTTATATGAAGCCGCGGTCAGGCTGCTAACATACAACGCGCCAACTACAGCCTGCAGATGGTGTCGGAGGCGCGTTTCTTTCTCATGTGATGGTCACATTGGCTATACAAAAACGGTCCGCAGAAATGTTCGGAGCACACATGTGTACGAAGCCTACCTGCTTCGGACGCGCTTGAGATGTGTACGCCGATAATTTTGTCCCCATGTCTGCACTACACACCGTTTTGTTTAATGATGTACGAGCAGTGTGCCTGCTTATGTCTGAACTAATCGTGGCAGTAAACCCATAACGACACAGCACTGCAGCACCAGCGCATGTATAAGGATGTTTCCCCTTGTCAATGCACCGACATGGTATGCAGTTCATCCTAATCTTACTGACACAAATTGCCTAGCGAGGAAATAACCAAAATAAATAAATTCGTTTATTTTCTTTTTTTTTTTTATTCGAATAAACTGTATGTTTTTTTTTCCTTTCTTCATATTTAACGTGTTTGCTTTGGGGGTCTGTAGGGTAGCGACAGTCTACACGTTATTCATTTCCGCGCAGAAATGGGAATAAAACTGGGTTTCCTCGTGGAATGGGAGGAACTATAAAATATATATCCCTGCGTCTTGAACGCGGGAAAAGCCGCATCACATTTTCCGATTGTTCTGCGGAAGATTACAACAGCAATGTTTTACACCATCACGATGACAACGAGGGGGGGGGGGGGGGGTGCAATACTACATAGAAGACAAGGCCTGCGCATTACGTCATCATTAGTAAATCCTCGACCCGGCCCAAGCGGTATACATGCCGAAACGGACGAGAATCGACGCGAAGCGGCATACGCGTCTGTCTTGGCGTCGTCACGTGCTAATGCGGAGTGCAAGTTCGTCTGCTTCTTTTGCAGAGGTTGTAATGACGTCAGAAGGACGCCGAGCTCTGATTGGCTCTGATTGAAGGATAGTGGATAGGCCTCAAGGCAGCTTGCTTTGAGGAACGCCCACTATCCTTCAATCGGAGCGAATTAGAGCTCGGCGTCCTTCTGACGTCATTACCACCCCTGCAAAAGAAGCAGACGAACTTCCGCTCCGCGTAGCGCTACGGTCGTTTTGAGAAGCTGCAAACGGCGACAGGGTGTCGAACCTGAACCCGAAGCGAAAATCAGAGCAAAAGCTTTATTTTTGACTGTACCGGAACGAAAACCGTAACCAGAATCAAGCATTTAACGACGAACTTAAACCGGAACGGAAGTGTAATTTCGTGTGGTTGCTGCCGGCTTACTGGAAGAAGGTTCAGCGTTATGAAAGTGTGAGTGGTGCCTTCCTGCGGGTGGCGGTGCAAAGTCATGGAAATGTTCGCGAGGGTGGCGTTAGCGGCATAGTTTTGACTAAGCAAAAGGCAGCGATGACATGGAGACAGCTCGAATATATTAAAACAAACAAACATAGCTTCTCGTCTATGTGTAGCACGGCTTGGCGTCGGCGAGCTTAAGTGGTGGCGTACTACACTTCTATAAGGGGTATTCACTGGAGGCCATATTTGATGGCGATGTTTAGAGCGCATGCTCAGAACGAGCTCGCATTACTAGGTTGCTAGGACCGGCAACCTTGACGGTGTGGAAGGCACGTTGCAAAAGAACTGTGGAAGCTCGCCACCAGCACTCGCTCAAAAGTCGCACACCCAGCTATCGCTGCCAGTGAATTCTCCCTATACTTTGTTGCACGTTTCAATTGACAGCAAAGGACGTGGCGCGGCAACCGGAGCCACTTCATAACTCGGAGGGTGTCACGTGGACTTCCACTGATATCTATTGCAGTAGGCTGTATCGCGGATCGAGAGCCTTACAATGGCACCACCGGCGGCCGTTGTTTGAGGCAGTACATGCAAGTCTATGAAAGGAGGGAATAAAAATTAACTTTTTCTAAACTTGTGTAAAGTGACTTGTGCAAAACACTTTTATGAGGTTTTGAAGAAATAGTAAGAAATGATTTACAGTTGTCAGTATAACTGCTGAGAAGATTGTTAAACTACACAAACAGCGTGCCAGTCTCTGTCATCTCCTGACATCGAAAGAATTCGTCTGCTCGACTGTTTCAAATCGTTGTCGTCATGCTTGAAGAAAACCCGATTTTGCTTAAAATAACTTGCAGTACGAACACAGTTTCTTACGAGAAAAAGAAGTTACGTCTTTTAGCGTGCGAGAGTATATTTATCATCAGACATTGTCTCTTTTGATTTGAAAACAAAAATGATGCCTTGAATTCAATATGAAACCTTTCGTACGTAAAAACATAAAAGTAAGCATGACATCGAAGAAAGCCTTTCTGTCTGCTTGCATGACTGCGTGGCTCCCGCTGGCTGCTCGAGAAGCCCGGAGAGGAAGTCAACAGAATATAGACAAGTATTTGTTTACCTGAAACTCCAATGCAGGAAGTATTAACGTCACAACACAAAAATATTGGTCGTCCAAAGTGTAATACGAATAGAAGAAATCTCACTTTATAACGTTCAAATTTGCGTTTTGTGTGTTTTTTTGTACAACCTGAAATTAGTCTGCCACAACGAGCGACTTGTCTCGCAGCTGCAGATGAGCAATTTAGCCAGGGCGGTACAACCTCTAGTCTGAGGCCTTTAACGTGCACGTCGCAGTAGCGATATGGGACCGCACGGCTGTACGATGCTCATTCACATGGAAACGTGCAGGGTTGGGGATTGAACCCAGGATCCCTGGGTTCTGCAACGCAAGCTTTTGCTCTACGTGCTCCAGGCTGGTGCGTGCAGCCTAAATGCTAGCCCACTCGGCCATCGATCTCCTGTCTCATGGGATTCAATGCATTTTCTGGTGTCAAGCAATGGTCGACGGTGGTAACGACATCGGGTTGGAGTGTTCATGGCTTTGCAGAGGCGTACTGATCCTAGTCTGGCCCAAGTACACTCGCATAGACCGCCACTGATTAAGAAGCCTTTTTGTCGTGGTGAAATTGCGAGAATAAAAGGGGACTATTTCTCTCACTCTTACCTTCGCAAAGCTTGATGACACAATTGTGGGATCGAAACCACCCGCCTGACGACAGTCGAGTGCAGCTCATAAATTGGACACGAGAACCGGGTGTGCACTCGACTTCGGCTCGTAACAAACAATGCCTTGTGGACACTCGGGTAGTGGCTCGTGTCCAACCACTGCAGTGACGAGAATAGCCGAACTCTAAAAATGCCTGGAGCTCAGCGCGTGTTTTCTACTTTGCCAATCCAAGCCCTTGGCTATGCTTAACGTTGGCGGAATAGAATAGGCACTACGCCAAATCGTCGCTTCTTCTGGCCCCGAGTTGAGGCAATGAACGATGCTCATATTTCTCGAATTTTTTCGCTGACTGCCGTTGACTAGTACAGACACAGTGTTCTTGGGGGAGCTTTTAATCGTGTGCTAGACTCTCATGCGGACTCCCGCAGCCTCGGTCACACTCCTCGTTCAGAACGGTTCACGCGAAGCCTTCAGGGATTGGT